AAGGATCAAATCAAAACATAGTTAAAATAAAAAAAATATGAGAACGATTAAATCATATGTAAATTTATACTAAAATTACATGCGATTACAGAACATTTTAACTCAACAGTGTCCAGACAACTAGGTTGCAACCAAGGTCGTGAGAATTACATGTGAATTTAGTGTAAAATCACATGTGATTTGACTATTCTCATATTTTCTTATTTAGTTAATGTTCTCGTTTAAACCCGATTCTATACCCACATACACACACACATACACACACACATATATATATACTAGTTGTGTACCCGCGCAATGCGGCGGGAGCTATGAATTTTAACGATTTTGAAGTTCCACTGATTTTATAAGATAAGAATTAACGATGATATAGGTTACACTTGTTATTTACATATTAATACAATTTGAATAAATAAGAGTTATGGTTCCAATTACAGACTATCGATGAAAAAAATTGTATGACATTTTAAAATCCAATATATTTAAAATCCAACATATTTAAACGACTCAACAAATGTGTTCGATTTACACCAAGAGCAAAGAACCAATAAACTTGAGTTTTAAGATAAACACTCAAAACCAATAAAGAAAACTATAAATTTGACAGATCATAAGCCATGAAAAGACAAAAAAAGATGAGTTTTAGAATGAAATTTCAACTGTTTACCCTCTTTCTTGTCCAGAAACTCAGATTAAGGTAGAATTAATACATGTATATATATATATATATATATATATATATTTCAAAAAACCCAAGAACATATTAATTCAATACATATTATATAATGCAATTTGGATAGCTTAACCCCAAAATATATAGTATATATATAAATAAATAACTATAAAAATATAAATCGTAAATATTAAAAATATTTTTCACAGTATATATAATATATAAATACAATTAAGTCAAAAACTATTCAATATTAGACTCATTTCGAAGGTATTAACGAGACGATTATAATGGTGTAACTTGTTAAAATAAAAATATATTTTTTAAACATGTTTTAATTGATATACGATTATGTATGTTAATTTGATAAAGATTTAAAATAAAACATTTAAAAGTAAAGGACATAAAGTAAATTAATTAATTAATTATAGGGATATAAAGTGTAAATTTAAAATTATAATTTAAAAAAATCGTGAAAAGGTGAGTGTATGTGAGAGGATGAGTGTATGTGAGGAAAGAAGGGGGTGAAAAAGTGAAAAAGTGAGTATAAAGGGTATTTTGGTCATTTAAAATTTTAAGACTTTAAGACTTTTGCTAAATTTGCTTAATAAGATAGTATAGATATATATATCTATACTATATTATAATGCATTTGGCTAAAACTCTTAAAAACTCTTAAACTCTTAAAACTCTTAAATCCGTTCATCCCTATCCGATTTCATCCCATAACTGAATTCGTGTAACTAACTGCAGATAAACACAATCAAATACAGGATAAACATCTTATTTTAAATATAAAAAATCTAAAATATAATTAGGATAATTTTGAGTTCTAACAAAATACTTAATTATTATCTTTATAAAATGATATATTATTAAACCAAAAAATAAATTATTTCATTATTAAACTTAAATTAAATTTAAAAAAAATAATCTATACTATATTATAAAGCATTTGACAAAAACTCTTAAAACCTACTTTTTATACGGAAACTACTGTTTATTAATGCATATTACTTAAAACTCAAGATTACAAGTAGATTGTATGTAAGTACAACTTATTAAAGCTTCATATCTCAATTAGTGTAATTAATTGCAGATAAAAATAATCAAATACAAGATAAATATCTTATTTTAAATATAAAAAATCTAAAATATAATTA